GTTTTAGGCCCTGTCGTCTTTTGGAAGCGGGTTCGTCCAAATTGCGATCATAAAAAATCTCACCTAAAAGAAAAAGCGAGTTTTTAACAAAATTTGGTCTTGACGAATGTTTTGTTAATGAAAAACTTAATGAATGTCTAAAATTTTCAGTTGCCAAGAGATCAGAAATCACTTTTTTGGGCAAAAACTATAACTAGTTCAAAATGTTATAAAGAGGACAAAAATATCAAAAGAGTATTGAACTATGAAATGTAAATGGGATTTGTTCGCAGGTTCGCAGGGTTTCTGACTGAATAGCGAACATTTTTGTGACACCAAATTGATATGGATGTTGAAAAACTAATAAGTCTTATATATGAAAGAAAGTGGTTGTGGGATATCAGCGAAAAATGATGGAATTCTCCAAATTATTTTCGTTCATAGCAACGTTATCAGCAAGCCAACAGTTTTTTTTATTTTTAACCTTAATCGAATTCTGGCCAGATAACTATTTTCCGAAAGAAAATCATCCATTATTATTAACAGTGGTATAGTTACGATGAATAAATTACCGCGAATAAATGTGCTTATTTGACACAACATTCACAATTTGTGCAATAAGAAAAGTTTCAGGTGACGATACCCACATATGCGAAATCTTACGATTTTGCCCGAACTGCGCTCGTCAGAAAACTCATGCAAAGCACGACAGGCTTAACCGGTAATGTAAGATGCGCACGATCCCCACTATTTACCTCKCCTACGCTGCTTCAACGTAGTCATAGTTCGGGGTGCCCGCCGCAGTGGCGCAATGGTAGATTTCGGTACACTTTTTTAACACGGGATCGGCGATCTCTCAACTAATCTCTGTCCTATGCCTTATATAATAATAAATATAAATAAATAAGCCTTGTTCTATGTCTCTGTCTGAACAGGGTCGCGGCTGCACATGCACTGTGTGTTGGGGACAGAAAAGTGGAACTTTGTGCGAGTGGGCGGAAATGAATATATATGAAACTTCAGTTTAGAATTTAATGGCTACATTTCAAGTGCCTACTTTAACTAATATAGCTTGCGTATATGCAGAGATTCAGTGCATCAGTCTGGCAAAAAGCTCAAAATATCGAACCGCCTAATTGCATCGTTTAGCCTATCTAGTTATGCTCCACCCAAGCAGCCCCAGCTACTACAACAAGCGCAAGCAAGCGGTGCTTTATAGGTCATTGTTTTTTATACCCGTCGCCACTGATGATACTGGACGACATCTCGCTGCTCTCCTTCGAGTTGGAGTCCGACAGGCCTGGCGAGGACGGCCCGCTGCTGACAAAGCTGGGTGGGCCGCTCCATCCCACACCTACAAATCACCAGCTGTAAAGCCCGCCCATTAGCGCCCCATACACGGGCAGATTATCCGTACAGTTCAGATACGTAGAGATTTGATTCGACAGATCTAGATCGGACGAATTAAATCTTTTCCTGCCCACTAATTAACATACCAAGCACGAGTGCCGATTCTTCCAGTCGGATTGGAGAGGATCAGACAGACTTGGTCTGGCG